TAATGTATGGGGATTAACATAAGAATAAAAAAAAATGCTCGCTCTGGCAAGAGCTGCTGGATTAGACTATTAGTCTCCCGTTCTTGTTAAGGGACTTTTATCAAACTTGTAATGGTCTGGTATACACATCCTCGGTAATTCCTATTCCATAGGGACCTACATGGATCTAGATTTTTCTCCCTTCTGCTTAACCAAAGTGTGGTTACTGAGCACAGTTGCTTTGTCCCCTAATGTTCTTCTGATGTGAGACCCACCAGAGATATGAAGAACACGGTTGGGTGGAGGAGAAGTGGAGAAGCATTGCCTGACCTCAGCCAAGTGACCTGGTCTCTCTGCATCTCATCCTCCTCACCTGTAAGAGGTCACTCGAGCCCCCCCGCAGTGGGCTGTGGTGAAGGGGACTGAAACCATGAGTGCAAACCCCGGTGCCGGGCATCGAGAACATCCTCCAAATCTCAATTCCCTTCACCTTTGGCAGCAGGGAGAAAGTGCAAAGGGAAGGTGAGGATTGTGCTCTTCTGAGAGCATCTCACCATCCCCTCTCCTACCAACAATCCCTGTCATGGGTTGAATTGTGTCCCCTTAAAATTCGTATGTTGAAATTCTAACCCCCAGAACCTCAGAATGTGACCTGATTTGGAAATAGGGTCGTTGCAGATGTAATTAGTTAAGATGAGGTCCTTAGGGTGGGCCCTACACCAATTTGATTGATGTCCACATAAAAACTGGAAGGTGGGACACAGGGACATACACGCAGGGAGAATGTAAAGGTGAAGACAGAGACCGAGGTGATGCTTCTACCAGCAAAGGAGTGCTAAGGATTGTCAGCAAACTGCCAGGAGCTAGGGGAAAAGACTGGAATAAGCTCTCAGAAGAATCCAACCCTGCAACACCTTGATCTGAGACTTCCATCCTCCAGATCTGTGGGACAATACCCTTCTGTTGTCTGGGCCACTCAGTTTGTGTGACAGCAGCTGAAACTGAGCCAACTCCAGAGGTGGCTCCTATTGGTGACATCAAGGAGGACAGCTCTTTCTAGACAGCAGGAGGCACTGCAGTCCCACAGGAAGGAGGGAGACGTGTGAAAGCCCTGAGAATGGTCCTGCTTGGCCTCCAGCTCATTAGGCTATCGGCCTCCTATGGCCTGAAGGAACAACTTGACATTCTGAACACCACCCTGTTCAGGACTGTCACTCATTAGCCATAATGTTATATCTCTGTGTTTCTTTGTGATGTTACCTCCATATTTGTCCATGTTTTGTTTTCCCAATTTGACCACACACTCCTTGAAGGCTGGGATGATGCCATAAACCGAAGTGGAATCAGGGGCCCCTGTTGATAAAAATTCTTGGCTTGGGGGTGCCTGGGTGGCTCAGTCAGTTAAGTGTCTGCCTTCAGCTTAGGTCATGATCCTGGGGTTCTGGGATCGAGCCCCGAGTGGGGAGCCTACTTCTCCCTCTCCCTCTGCTACTCCCCCTGCTTGTGTTCTCTCTCTCTCAAATAAATAAAATCTTTAAAAAAATTCTTGCTGTGACCTTAGGGACGTCCCTTCTTCCCTCTGCACCTAGTGTCTTCATCCGTCAGTTAGGAGCATAATCTCCAAGGCCCCATCTAGTCACAATATTTTGTGACTCTGACTCTTAGCATCCTTGTTATTTAACCAACCTGCTTGCTTAGGATGCAAAAGGAAGGGAGACTCAGGAAACTTATCTTGAGATGTGCTGACAAGCCAGGCTTTTGGGGTTAAATGTGCCAGACTTATGTAATGAGAGGGCTAGACCCCAAGACCCCGGGGGCCAACACAGTACTGTAGGGGCTCCCGGCCCCTTTGGGTCCCCTTCCTAGACTCGGGGCTTCCCGCTTCAGCACACGCCTGTCTATAAGGCCTCTCCCTTAGTGACTGTGGATGCTTCATCCTCCTTCAGTGATGCTATACTGCATGTTCTGGACCCTGTGCCCACAGCAGGGCTGGGCTCCAGGGTACCTGGTAGAATCCACCCGTGGCTGCTTTGGGGGCTTGGGGGAACAACACTGTCTTTCCGAGTGGCTATAGAATTTTGAGTAGCTCACTTGTCTTACCTCTGAGGGATCACAACATGCCTCAGCCTCCACTAGGGAGAAGCCTAGACCCAATCTAAGAGTCTCTAAGGATCTTCCTAATGGCAGATACCCCAGAGGCCTGAGCAGCTGGGTAAATCGCACTCTTCTGGTTCCAGAAAACAGGGACTCACACAAACCAGTCCAAGTAATGGCAGGTGGTATAGCGGTGGAGGCAGGGACCTGATTGACAAGTGCTTATAAGAGGGATGGACTCTTTTAGAAATCTAAGACGAGACACTCCCACTAAATGACAAGCTTCATAGAACCATGTACTAGAAGGTCATTCTACTTCCAAGCTTCCTCTGGGGACCTCACTCCAGTGCTCTGCCATTAATGCGACCCCAATACCCTCCAGGGATTCACTTCTGTCGGCATCTCTCCACTTCTCACCCCTGTAGTGTTCTCTGAAGCATGCTTCTGGTAGAACACGAGGCAGCGGAAGTGAAGACACATGAGTGAACATTTTTATTTTGAATGCACTTAGTACTTAATTTAATTTAATTTAATTTAATTTATATTTGGGGAAAATGCATACCTAAGAAATATATTGATTTAAAGGAAAACAGTACATAAATAATCAGGGTGTGATGCTATAGCAAAATCATGGAGGTGGGTCACAAATGACCAAAGTCTGAGAAACACTGGAGTGGCTGCCTGTCTCTACATTTCACTATAAACTCCCAGAACACACAACCTTAGTGGTGGCCCAACTCATTAGCACCCCTATTTACATATTTACATCACACTTTAGGTGCTGTAATAGGGCTGCAGGCCCTGGGGCGGGGGGCTGGCTGCCCTTGGATCCAGTGTCCGCCCTTAGACAAATCAGTGGTGGTGGGGGGTGGGTAGGGTTGCATGATGTGCGATATGGCTGCCCAAGTTCTGGCTCTTCTCCAGGGGCTGAGGACAATTTTCTTCGGGAAAATTTTGTGGGCGGGTGCAGCTTGAGGTGTTATTATGGACCTCTAGGTTGAGTTGTAGCTCTGGGGGCACTGTCTGGGAGTGTCTGAGATGGGCATGTGGTTTCCAGCTGCCTGTAACCTTACTCTGAAGGGTGACTGTGAGAATTGAATGTGGTCCCCCTAAAAAAGGCGCTTTGAAAATCATCCACACCAAGAGAGGGGACAGTAAGCAACTTCCCTCATCTCTCCTGCCTCAGTCCCTTCATGGGGCAATGACAGATTTGAGTTAGGTGATCCTTACTATCTCATCCTTTCCAGCTCCTTAGTAGTTCTGCTTGATTCTAAGTTCCCTGCCTCTCCACATTTTGCCTCCAACCACCAACCTGGTCTCCAGAAACTCTTCCTCCAAAATTCCAACAATATAGAGAAGAACATCATGAGCCCCCCCTGTTCTATAAGTTACATATTTGTAAAACGTGACATTCATGTCATGCTTGCCTTTTAAATAAAAATTCTGTATGTCCTTGGCCTAGCTTATCTGTTTAGAGATGTTTGCTTTTTACTTATTATTGATTGTCGATTGGCTCCAGTTACTCTTTGATCTTCCATTTTGTTTGAACTTGAACGCCACCCACACTGTCTGCCCTGGGCCCATCGTCTCTCTATTAAACAGTAATGACACATAAACGAATTCGGAGGCCCTCTGGGAACAGAGGGGCCTGGGCCAGCCGCCCTCAGGCCTGTGAATTGTCATTTCTGAAGCCGTCTGTTTTGTAAGTTCTTTTGCCAAGTTTCTATGGGAGCAGAGGGATCATCTTCTCCCTTTTCAAAGAGCAGGGTGAGCTGAGGCCTCGAGCTGGCAAGTCCTCTAAAGTCATTTTGAAAGGAAACCTGAACCAAAAGGCCATGTGGCTGGCAGAGGGTCGTGTGACTTTGTGAGGCTCTCTCTGGGGCTTTGGGTGCTCAGCCCCCACAAACCTCTCAGCACATGCCCGGAGCCTGCTGCAAAGGTCCTGCCAGGGGCCACCTCTGTCCAGCTACCGGCCAAAGGGCCCAGGGAGGGGCTCCGCTCCACGGCCCCGCCCCACAGCCACCCAGGAACCAGAAGAAGGCAAGTACGGACTTTCTCCTCTGGGCCGGGGCCCAGGACCGCACTTGTCCTCACTGCTCTTAGGTCTCATCCATCAAACTTGAACCTTGGGGCTTTTTGAGGTGAAACAAAACTGGATGCCAAAGCAAGCTAGGGTGAACTTATGTCTGATTCATGGACTCATAAATGATGTAGTTAATCTAATCCTCTCATTGGACAGGTTGGGAAAGGGACACAAAGGGGAAACGGTTGTCCCAGGTCACACAGGAGGAAATGGCTGCCTTCCACCAAAATTCTCTGGACAAAGAGCACTTCTCCAGGGATGGAGGTTTGCTTGGCTGGTCGCCATTCATAAAGCTTCTGAGTCTATACATACCTGTCAATCGTCAATCACACAGCAGGTACCAGGCTGAGAAATGTATGATGGGGCCAGACCTGACTTCATATTGTCCCCTGGACCCCAGCAGAGAGAAATTGTTTATGAAGCCAGGAGGCAAGAGGAGCCTTCACAGAATGGGCAAATTCTCCAAGACACAGAGAAGGAAAGGACGCCTATACCTTCATGTCAGAAGGGCGAGAAGGGAAATCACGAAAGCTCAGCCTAGAGCTCTGAGTGAAAAACAGACAGAAGCGAGAACCAGCCAGAAAGAGAGGTGAGAGGCGGTCCATCCCACACCCCCTGCCGGAGCGCCTCATGACCAGGGTCTGGAGCCTGCAGCCCGTCCCAGTCTGGGAGTCAACAGTGGGTCCCTGCCCAGCGTCCAGGAGCCAGCCCCAGCCTCAGCCTGCCCGAGACCCCAGCAGCCACTCCTCTCCATGAGCATCTCCCGTGAGATTCAGAGCCGAGGAAACCAGACCCATTCCAGTCCTGATCCCAACACAAGGAAAGACCTCTGGAAAGAGCCCACTTGACTTTTCTACATTTTATTCTCGTATTTGTACAGCTATATTTTACAACGCAGTAATGCAGTTTAGACACAGCCAAACCCTGTCTCCGGAGTAGTTCTAACACAAGCATGACGCAGAATGTGATGAGACAAACATTCCCAAAGAGAGCTTAGTGAGCGACAACTTCAAGTCCCTGTGTCTGCCTACACTTCAGAAGGGATGGCGCGCTCGTCCATCACTGAAAACTTCCATGAAAAAAGGCACCGTAGGACACGTTGTACAGGTATATACAAACTGAAAACTAGAACAAAACTACACATTTTTCCTTCGGTAGCTTTTTTTTGTTCTTTTTGTTTTTTTTTTTAATACACACTTTGTAAATTGTAAACCTTCACTTGCAAAAAAATACAAATACACTGAGGCATTTTAGACAAAATATTTTCTTACTTATACAGATGCAATACTTAAAATATTCTCTTAAGTGCTCTTTCTCAATAAAGATTCTCAGATCCGTGTCTGCCTGCAGATACAAAATCGAGCCTTTAACGCAGTTTTATATTTTTAATATATCTTTTTTAGGTTTATATATATTTATTTTATATATATATATATTTATATATTTACAACTCTGCCATATATTCCTTCACCTTTGGTTAAAAAAATTAAAGCCCTCTCTTTGATAACATACTGAAGTCTCTTCTTTTAAAAGAATGCACATTTACATACAAAAGAAACATCTGTCCCCACAAAACATATACATTCCTCATTTTGCAGACCAAGTCAAGTCAGAACTTTTGCATACTCCCCCACTTTGATATATAAAATGATTTTGCTTTTTGCTGACATGGTTTGCCTTACACATAGGAGAAGAAGCAATATTATTAATGTTTTATGGCAGCGGGGGAAGGGGAGCTGCCTTGGCCCCCAGTCCCCACGCCCCCTCCCCCCACCCCCACCCCAGCTATGATTTGCACTAGTGGATGAAAGAGGCACTACATCATGGGATGAACATTGTAAAGTGTTACAGTATCCTTTGGGTAGATTCTGAGAAGGAACTCGAATGGAAAGCATCAACACTCCATGCTTCAGCAGGCTTTGGGGAGCTCCGGGGGCAGGTCAGTGGCGGACACGCGGTATTGCACCTTGGTGTTGGTGATGGCCCCATGCTTTTGGCGCAAGTGAAGACGCAGCTGGCTTTTGTGACGGAAATGCAGGTTGCACTTCTCACACTGAAGGGAAATCAGAGGCAAACTGTTAGCTGTCACCAACCCCAGGAACGTATCCTTGCTCGGAGACCCAGAGAGGGAGATTCTCCCTGTGAGGGATCTGGGCGGCTCTTCCCTCTGGAAGGCCAGGTTAAGAATTCAGGCTCCAGCTAAGCGATAAGTAAGCTTTGCGCAAATGTCCCTTCTCTGTTTTCTAAAGCGGTGAAGTGTTGCTACTGCTCTTCCCCAGCCAAGCACATCATTTCTCTCCATGGGCCTTGGCTTTCCCTTCAATGAAGGACTGAGTCGACACGCTCTGCAGGTCACTCTTAACTCGACATTGGTGCATCTAAACTTCTAGCAAATATTTATTGTACTCTACTGTGTGCCAAAGACTATCCTGACACTTGAGCGAATTTGTTAACTGAATACAACGACTCCGTGGGATAGGATCGTTTTACAGATGAGCAAATAAGGGTATCGAGAGGAAAACTAAGGTGCCCAAGAACAAAAAGCAAGTGAGAAGATACTCAGGGACTGATAAACAAGTGGATGAAAATACCTACATTTTGCAGGTTCCCATTTGTGATATGGGTTAACCATTCATTGGTTCGTTCTTGTGTCCATCACTATCTACGGTGATACCACAAACCCACCAGAGCAGTGTCATTGAACACAGTGGTTTCCACCGCCTATAAACCGTAGGACTCTCTTTTCAAATTCAATAGAAACTCAAAAGGTAAAAGAGGCTGTGGGGTTGACTGAAAGAGCCCAGTCTGAAAACTGCTCACCTACAGCATCCTTATCCTTTTACACAGAAAGAAAATTGTGGTCCCCTGAGAGAGGGTCAGGCTTGCCTATGGCCCTAAAAAGGGTTGGCGTCAGAGTCAGAATAAGAACCAGATACCCCAGCAGCCCGGCCAGTATCTCTCCCCTCTATAGCAGAGATAGAAAACTATTTTTAACCGGGAAAGAGCCGGATAGTGAATATATCACAATGATGACTCTGCGCCTGTGGTAGGAAAGTCCCCATGGATAATATGTAAACAAATGGACATGGCTGTGTCCCAATAAAACTTTGCTTATGGACATTGAAAATTAAATTTTATGTAATTTGCACATGTCACAAAATATTATTTCTCCATCTTGTAGCCATTTAAAGATATTAGAACCTAGCTCATGAAATGCTCAAAAATTAGCCCGCAAGCCATGGTTGGCTGAAACCCTCCTCCAGAACACTAGGATTCCAATGGCCCATTCATGGTACCCTGCTGTGTAGCTGGCCACCTGCTCCTTCTTATAATGGCCTTTTCCCTGCCTTTTTTTTCTTCTATCACCACATTTTTCTGATTCTCCTCCCACTCCTATGGCTGCCCCTTCTCAAACACCTTAGGTCCTCTTAAGTGGACATCTAGTCCAGCATAGAGGCATACTGTAAGAAGCTAATTAGTGTGGAATGAATGAATGATCCCCAAATCAATGTATCTATAGTTTGGAACTCTTTCCTAGGGCCCAGATCACCTAGCCCAGTATCCCCACTTTACAGATGAGCAAACTGAGACACAGCCAATGTCCAGCAGCGTGTCTGACAACCAGCCCTAAGCCAGGTCTTAGGGCCATTAGTTCAGTGGTCATCCCACTGTGTGCTTGAGACTGGAGCAAAGAGTTCTGCTGCCTGCCCCTCCCCGCCAAGCCCCTCCCAGGCCAGCTGATGGCCACAAGAGGCTCACATACATGGTAAGGTTTCTCTCCTGTGTGGATTCGCAGGTGGCTCTTCAGAGTCTGAAGGTGCCGGAAACGAGTGCCACAGATTTCACAGGGATAGGGCTTCTCTCCAGTGTGGATGAGCACGTGGGCACGGAGGTGGGCCACCTGAATGGAAGAGCAAAGCGTGAGAGGCTCTGTTGGGGTGGGCTGTGGCCCCCTCCCCCGGGAACCCCCTCTTCAGCATACAGAGGCTGAGGGGTCTTTTCCCCATGGCCCTGCTCACTTGTACAAATCTGGCTCCACAGGTTTCGCATTTGTAGGGCTTCTCTCCAGAGTGAATTCGAGTATGGGTTTTCAGGTTGGCTGGTCGGTTGAACTGGGCTCCACAAATGTTACAACGATAGGGTTTCTCACCTATTCCCGAAAGAAAGGGAACAAAGAAAGCTATATCTGACGGAGGTCTCCACAGTCGCAGGTCCCTGGATCTCAGAGCAAACTGCCCTTCCTGGGCCACCTCAGCTTTCTCTCCTTTGGAAGATGTCTGAGAGAGGATCCAGGGGGCCTACCACTTTCCTGCCCTTGCCAAGCACACACCATACCACCACAGGCTGCAGGCAGCCAGGGTCAAGGAGCAGGCTGGGGCAGGGGGGACGCAACACTGGGGGTGGGACAGGGAGTGGGGGGAGGTTCCAGGAGGCCTTTGAAACAGCTATGTCATTAAGATCATCTAACTGCAGACTTGGACAAGTCACTCTCCTTCTCTGGACCTCAGTTTCCCTCTCCAGAACTTGAGGGGTGAATTTAGATGACAGAGTCAGTCTCTTCCAGCTCTTCCCTAGGACTAGACTGATTCAGGAATCAAGCCCTTCACCAGGAAGAGACAATCAGGCTGCTCTAGTTTCTCTTTTAGAAAAAACATGCTTTTCCGCTTGTGGGAACGACAGCTGGATTCCATTTGCAAGAAGCCTGGGGCCTGAGTCAGAGTAGATGCTCAGGCTGGGGAAGCCAATAGAAGGGCTGAGCCTTCCTTTGTGGAAAGTTTCTGGGATAATGGACACCAAGAGAGGGTCAACTGTGGACAACAGTCGGGTTATTAGAAGCTACCTGGTAAAGGAATGTGAGTTGATAAGGAGCAAGCCCTGAGAGGAAATCAAGAGGCTTTTAATTTTTTTTTCTGGGGTAACAAGAACCCTATCTACTTTGCCTCTCTCAGCCTTGGTTGCTTCACTTGTGCGTTGGGATTAACAATTCTGCCGCACAACGCTAGAGAAGCAGGACAGAGTGCCTCGGAGAAAAGACAAAGAACACAGGGAGTGGAGGAGTCGCCAGGCAAAGACAAGACAGGGTTAGGCCCACATCCAGATCAGAGCAGGGCCTGCTCCCCGCCCGCCGGGGGAACAAGGCCCCACACTGCTTTCTCTAGGGTCCTCCCCCCATCCCGCTCCCAGGAACCCTGCCCAGCTGTGGCGGGGGGCGGGGGGAGGGGGCATACCCGTGTGGACGGTCTTGTGGCTGGCGAGGTTGCCCTTGTAGCGGAAGGAGGCCTGGCAGCGGTCACACTTGTAGGGTTTGTCACTGTGGGTCTGCAGCGTGTGTCTCTTGAGTGAGGCCTCCTCAGAGAAGCGGCAGTCACACTCATTGCAAAAGAAGGCCCCGTTCTCTGTCGGAGGTGGGCGGGGGGACGGGACACCACCGTTAGAAAGGGAAGGGAGGTAGGGCTCTAAGGCCACTCCCCTTTGCAGTTGCCCTCAGGGCCATATGGAACCCCCAAGCTCCACCCACCCGACATTCCGGGCCTGTGTGAGTTTTATTTTTCTGAGCATTTAGAGTCTCTGTCATGGAGGAGAAAGGGGACAGAGTTGAATACTAAGGTACAGAGGGGAAACTCAAACCAACAGCTACCCATATGGCCTGTGCCAACTTCAGGAAAGCTCAGCAGGGCTCCTCCTTCTCTAGAGAGCTCTGGGAACTGACTTTTCTTCTCAGTTCATTGTTTTATTTACATCCATACACAGGAGCCCTCAAGCAAGACCCTTCACCTCTCTGAGCCTATCTGTGTCTCTATCTCCAGAATCAGGATAGTCAACCCCCAGGCTGCCCACCTCACAGGAGCATACTGTATATCACAAAGTGTTCTAGGAATGTGAGGTATAAAATCCAATGGTACGTGGAGGCCATTGAAGGAGGAAGTAACCGTGAACAGGGTCACCCTGTATCTCTCTGGATTTCATGTCCCCCAAACACTTCTATGATATTGGGAGAGCCAACAAGGATGGAAGTAGAAACGGCAGCCCAGAGAAAAGGGACTGGATGCAGAGAAAGGGCAAATAGCCAGGGGGACAGACGGGGACAGTCCCTGCTCTCCCAACTACACGTCCACAACCCTGTGCCAAATCTCACGGTGTAAGTAACTGATTTTTCCCTTCCGTTAGAACATTTTGAAAATGACATGTCACGGGGGCTCACCCCCGATTAGGCATGACTGGGCTATCCTACCGCAGCCAGAGCTTGAGGAAAAAGACAGACTTTCTTATCTAATAAAAACTGGGGATGCCAATCACAGAGTGTCCAAAACTTCAGTTTAATAATTCAGCTCAACTAACCTAATTCAGCTAACGTCAGCTGAGCACCTACTCCATGTTAGAAACTCCCTCGGACCTATGGGAGACACAGGCACGAGGAAGGTCAGGGGCTTGTCCTTACAGAACGCATGGCCCAGCAGGGGGGGCCGACCCAGGTCAGTCCTGGCAGTTGGGTCCCGAGGCACTGAGGAAGCTCTGGGAGTTAGAGCCGCTCCCCCAGGCTACCTTGGCTACAGTGCAGGTGAAAAGGGGGTCATTCTCTGTTACCCCAGACTAACTCCCATACCTCATCCCTTGCTCAGATCAGCCTGGTTCAAGAGGTCAAGAGCGGGGGGACGGGCCGGTGATTTTAAGGGCCAGTGACCTTCCAGTCGGGGACTTCTCCCAATCAGTGACAAGAGCATAAGTGAAATGGAAACGCAAACCCCACAGAGCAGAGGCAGGGGCCTTCCTTCTCCCCGGGAAGGGACCCACCACAGCTGGAATCCGAGTACTCAGACTGGGTCTCTCCCATCTCCTCGGGGAATGTGGGGCCAGCGGTATGGAGGCACATCTCTGCATGCTGCGGGGACTGAGAGCCGCACGACGTGCACTTGGGGGGGTGCAAGTAGAGCGGTGAGTGGCTCTCGCTGTTGCTGCGGGGGGAGCCTGTCAGGGACCTGTGGGCAGGAGGAAAGAGAGCCTCAGCAGCTGGAGAGGGTAAAGCACTCCACCTGGCCTGGATGCTGCCCCCTCCTTCCCATGTGCAGGTGAACCCAGAGGCCAGAGCTGGGCCACCTCCCTCTGGATTCGGGGCCACAAAGTTATCCTTGAGCCCACCTCCAAACAGCGTATGCCCTGAGATCCCTGATGTTAATATGCCTCCTTACTGAGGTCAATTCAGTCAGTGGATACTTACTCCACACCCATAATATACCCAATATTCAGGCAAGAAAGGACACAGCCCCTGCGTCCATCGGAAGAAGTGGCCCCCGTGGGAAGCCCTGACCCCAGGCCCAGACCCCCTCTGAAAGCACCTGTTGACGATGTTATTGAGCCGGCTGGCCTGTGGGATGGTGGAGTGCTCCCCGCTGACACTGAGCTTGGTTGGGGACTGGAGGTCAAGGCTCTCGGGCTCCATGGGTGGCTGGCAGGCCGGTGGGGCGGTGTAGGCTCGAGGGGAGAGGCGGCCCAGCTCAGCCTGCTCGGGTCCCTCTGGTTTGGCATTCTGGTTGAGGCTGTTGAGCACAATGAACTTGTATTTCTTCCAGTTGCAGGCTTTGGGGTCGGTGGGGCTCTTGGCTGGAGGTGAACCAGAGGTCTGGAGGATGCAGGCATTCTTGCTACTGCAGGACTCCGTGGGCGAGTTGGGCTGGCAGTCGGACTTCTGGGGGCTCTGGGGGCTGACCAGACCCTTGCGGTTCAGGGGTGCACTGGGGGGCTCAAAATGCAGGGCGATCTCATCCTCTGAGGAGGGCCTCTCTTCCTCCTTGCCAGCCTTGTCACAGGGGAAGTACGGGGCATTCCGGGCCGAGGGGGCGGCAGGCTTGGGGCCCTCGGCCACGCCGTAGTGCATGTCACTGCGTGTCTCCTCTGGGGCTGCCTCCTTGGGTGAGTAGATGCTGCTGTGGCATACACTGGGAGTTCTCTCCAGGGCCGGCCGGCTGTAGTCGCCAGGGACGGGCCTGGCACTATCGCAGGGGTGGGCCCGCTCCTTAGGGAAGGGGTTGGCCACAGGCATCCGGGCATCCCGCAGCTCCTCGTCAGAGAAGAGGAAGCTGCTGACAGGGAGGTGACTGTAGACGGGGTAAGAGGCCGGCGGGGTGGACAGGCCGCTGTACAGGCTAGGGGCGAAGGCCCTGCTCTCGCACCCTGGGGCATTCCTCAGCGGTAGGTTATTCTCCACCACCTCACGACCCCGATAGGCCATGATGTCTTGGGGCATCAGCATCCGGCTATTCAGAAACTCTTCACGGGGAGGCTTGATGGCAGGAACCATCTCTGCTTCACTGCAGGAGAAAACAGAGAGGAGACCCGGGCCTCCAAATGAGTACTGCTGAACAGAGGACTTTCTGAGCGACACTGGTGTTAGGTAGCCACATTTGTGCTTGGTCAGCTAGACATGAGGGATGTGGCTCTGGAATAGGGAAATCCTTGCAGTCACAAGGCTTTTATGCTAGAAATCTAGCAAGCTAGCCCGCAGTGCGGGAGACTGGACCCAGACAAGGGCAGCGAGTCAGCCCCACAAGCTGTGCCCGCTTAGACATGCGATCACATGTTTAAGCCACATTCTGTGTATATGTGCGTGAATCTGTAATTCTTCAGATATTACAGAATGTAAAGCTTTCAGAGCCCTTAGTTCATCCATGCAAAATCCTGCAAAGGAAGAAAGGCATTACTGTCTCCATTTTACACACATGGAAATGGAGGCTCAGGGAAAGAAGTTACACAGTGCATGTTCAGAGAGTCACAGACAAACTGGTGGCCCATGGGAGAAGGGACTCAGTCTGTAAGCTGCCTAGAGTCTTGGGAGGAGTTTTCTTTGGAGGACCGGCAGCAGCCAGACCTGCTCTCCAGTCCCAGTTGGGCCACTTAGCGGCAATGGGCCCTGGAGCAAGTTGCTTCACCCCTCCAAGCACAAGGCCTGACCCAGAGAAAGTACTCGAAAATGACCGCAATGATAACCTCGCTACCATTATCACCCACAGGAGACAACAAGCTCTCGCTGCACATACTTGAAGGGACGTTATGTGGGGGAAAAATAGGCCAGCTCACCATGATCACAGTTAACAGAGCTGGGACCAATGAGTGAAGGTTAAGAGGGCCAGATTTCAACTCGCCATCAAGAGGAGCTTTCTAACGGTCCGAGGTAGTCAGTGCGGCTCTGGGAACACTGGGTTCCTGGCTCCTGGAGGTGATCAAACAGAGGCTGGAAACCCTCCTGTTTCATAAGGGAGGCAATCACCCTAGAACAGCTGAATCAAATGGTGCTAAAAAAGTAAAGCCCTGAGTTTCTGTTCCACTTAGCAAAGCCCTTCACTTTGTGGGCTCTCAGGATCCCCCCCCTTTAAATGATGGTCATGTCCGACCGGCCTTCAAGGACGAGATTAGACCCGGTGAACTCAATTTAATTCAATAAATGTCCTCTCTTGTAGGAGCGGGGCAACATAAAAGATGAGAAAAGCAGCCCACAGTCTGGTGGGGGAACTAAGGCACATATGCAAATCATCATAATAGAAGTCTAAAGGAGAACTAAAACACATACGCAAATAGTGAAAATGGAAGGAAGGTCTGAAGGACAGGCAGATGGCTTAGGGATACAGAGGGAGAGCTGAGGGAGGAAGAGTGGCAATTGGAAAACGTCCACAGAGGAGCCCGCTTCCAAGCTTGGCCTGGTGGGATGGGTGGGAGGAAAGGGCCCATCCAACGAACGAAGAAAGCAAGAGCGGAATGAATGCACAGGGCATATCTGGATAGCAGAGCAAGAATTAAGAAGGCAGAAGTGTGCAAAAGCTAGCGGAAACGTAGGCTGTGGCATATTGTAGAGGATATGCATGCATTATCAAGGATTTCAGATGTCTTCCACTCCCAAGGGCTTCTCCCTCCATGGCAGCTCACCTGGCCTTGATAAACTTCCGGCAAGTGTCCACAACGTGCTCCATCTGCAGGTACATTGCCGTGGCCATCACGGCCATGATGTTGCCCTCCCGCAGATTGAGCCGGGACGTGTACATGAAGTCCAGGAGGATGCAGAACCCCTCAGGGTTGATCTCAGGATCCAGGTTGATCACACTCAGGTTACACTTCAGCTGGTCCGTGAAGATGCTATAGAACAGGCCACTATAACACAAACACACGTGTCACAAGAACGGACAGGACTGGCAATCAATTACAGTCAGTGTCAAGGCTCAGCTCCTCTTCCCTGGGCCTCGCTCCAGAACTTCCACAGCAATTAATAATAACTGCCATTTACGAAGAGCTTACTAAATACCAGAGAGTCATTAAGCACTTTACATACATTATCCTGTGTTCCTCACAACCTTGCAAGGTAGATATTATCACTCTCCCCTCTACAAGTGGGGGAACCAAGATCAGAAGGTAAATGATGTTCTCAGAGTCACAGAGTGAAATTTAGCACTCATTTGCAGTAACCATTTTTAGTCTATAACTTTGGAATAAGCACTTCTCTTCCTATTCCAACACATGATCCTTATTTTTAAAGTGTCATTGTCTGTTTTTAGAAACAACTTGGGTATCGACGATAAATAAATAAAATGGTGCCTACATCTACAGTCTACTGATTTTCTAAAAGCCCACAGACTTCCATAAGGTCAATATTCCTAGGAGACACAAGTCAAACCTCAAGCCGTGCCTCCAGGGACCATGTTGTCTGGTAGAGGAAAGAAGGCTCAATTACAAGTCAGGATTCGGGCTGGCATCTCAATGCTGCTCTTTCTGAATGGGTTGCCAGAAGTGAGCCAGACTTTAACCAGTAAGTAGCTGTGCAACCTTGGGCAAGCTACTTAACTTCTCTGCACCCTAGTTTCCTTCCCTGCAAAGCAGGAACAATAGAGTCTACCTGACAGGGTCGTGCATGCCTGGCACAGAGTAAGCTCTAGGTTAGCATTTTCTGTTACTTTTATATCTCTGTAAACCTCTGTTCTCGTCACTACTAAAACACAGGCGTTTGCTGTAGAGCTTGAGTAAGCTCTCTTCTGGCAGTAGAGACCCCCGACTTTACATCAGCTCACCTATCTGTACCTTCGTTTTATTGTCTATAAAAGGGAAGTAATTATGCCTCCATAACACAGAAGGCCACTGCAGAGATTCAGGGAGATGATGTAATGTGAACTAGCTCCAAAAACTTGAAACACTCAACAATTAGGAAGAATCGGCCGGCTCTCTCTCCCTAACTTACACACATAGCCTGAAACACCCATAGAAAGATAGCCACAGGATAAAATACATGCAGTTATAGAGTAAAAGGGCAAAAGACTTCAAATTCACTTGCTTCAAATACCGAAAAACCCCCTTTCACTTCTCCTTTCTTCACTGGTTAACTGAAGTTATTCTCCGTGTTTGTTCCAAACACATCCTTTCTAGAGACAGTCTACCATTTCTGCTCCCTCGCTTCCCACAGAACAGAAACTCTTTCTTCTCCAAACGTGTGTTCATTCATTCATTTCCTGGGAACCTACTCCACCAGGCCACATGCGCTGGCGGTCTGGAGACAAACTAGACGTAATTCTAAACACAGCAAAAGGCCCACTCGATCTGCCTTGCTACCTGCCCACACCATCGCGCCCTTCTATACAACCGTCTTTCCCCTCCCGGCCCCTCACCTGCAGGCCATGAGGACTGTCTTATGGGCTCTGAACTGCTCACGGCTCACCACGATGACAACATCAGTCAAAATGTCACGGCTCCGGAGGCGATTAAGGTTGAGAAGAACGTCACTGGCATGGCGGGTGAACTGGATACAGCTGTCAGCCGGGGATGCCATTTTGTCTTCACCTGGAAAGAAAAGGGTCAAAATCTTGTTGAATTCTCCAGAACCTGATTCCTGCTCTACCAGGGCTGTGAAGACAGGTGGCGCAGCCTGCTAACACACCAAGGTCCCTTGTGTTGGGTCTTTGACCCATTTGTGGGCCCATCTCTGGGCATTACTGTTCACATCTGTAAGATGGGAAAAAGAACCTTTCTCTAACAAGTTGGAATAGAAAGCCCTTTTGGGGAAAGCGGAAGTGAATGAATATTTGTAGAGTGCTTTTCCCACATACCCAGTACTCCGCCAAGTGCGGAGAGGCAGTGAGGGTGAGAAACCACGATGTGAAGGTTAGCACGCCAGCTTTATCTTTTGCTAGCTGTGTGACTTGGGGCAGATTGTTTACTGTTCCTGGGCTTTGGTTTCCCAAAATGGGAGCAGTAATACCTATGTGGTTGTAAAATTTAGAGATCTGTGCCTGGTCCATAGCAGGTTCTCAAAAATCGCAGCTATTCTTGTCAGGATCTCATTTCATTATCCCAGCCACCATCTGTTTCTTCCTCTTTTAGGCTTTACAATTGTCTGAATGTACTTCGAGCTCCTGGCACATTGCTCGTGCATAGTAGGTGGCTACATTGGCTCAGAACTAAGACATGAGTGAGGGTATGAATGATCACAGCACAGCTAAGATAGTCTAACAGAGGGGTAAATGGGTGAGGGAGAGGGAGCCGGCCATCCTTTCTCTCATCTCACGAAAAGTGGCCAAGTTCACAGCAACACATGCATCGGCAAAGTCAAAGGAAACAGTTTGTCCACAAAATTTTAAAGCATATAATTAGATTTACTTACCCAATGCCTTGATTCACAGTCCAAAATTTTGCTTAAAATCTGCAGGGAAGAGAAAAAACCAAACAGAAATTGATTCCATGAATGTTGGATTGTCCACTATAGTCTTATTTTAGGACGCACGTATTTAGTTTTCCTTTGATAGCTGCAGCTTGCCAGCTGGAGCGGTTTTACCACAAGCTAGCAAACATTTTTCCAGCTCTGCTCTTACGGCAACAACAGGCACCCGAAGCTATGCGATAGTCATGTTTTTGCCCTGAGTACTGGGAACACAACTGCATACGTTAATTATATGTACACATACACATGTAGTTCCTTTGTCAAAGTAGAAAATGCATACCATCCAAAGGCCACTTGTGTTCATGGGAAGAAAAATAGAAGAAAAGTGGTTCTTTCAATATTAATGAGAATGGTCCTTCAGGGGCCTAAGAACTCTGGACAATCTCCAAAACCTGCTAAAATATTATCTTTCGAGTCTTAGAATGATTTCTCAAGGTCTACTGGGGTCAATATCCGTATCCCTATTTCACTGATGAC